CCACCTTTTGAGCACCTCGTCTGCTGCTCCACCAACATGCATAGGCCAGTATTGACAAGGAGGTGTGGCGCATCATACGACATCTTTCACTTAAAAGCACCTGTTTGATATTTATTCGGTCAACTTGAAACTATCTCTGAATATTTGATTTTTGTTTCAGCTTTTCTTTTCTTGCTTAAATGCATGCTAAATTAGCTCGAATTCTTAAGGTTGGTCACAATCACCTACAAACAGTTTACCGAATACTGACATATTTATTACGCCTCTCTACCGCCATCGAGATTCTCAAAGTGGTCCCTCTGGAGCTTCCATGCACCTCAGCAGCTGGCTTCCTAATTCTGGACTCGATCCTAAGCTGGACTCTGCGGCAGTTGCCTCCTCGGTGGCAGCACTGCACCCGAGACGCACATCAATCGAACCACCCCCCGAATCCGATCTTTCTGTTGTTTCTCACCTCATTGGAGTTCGGGGTGAGGAGATTGTTATTGACTTGGGCCACTGCTCCTTCGTCAATCTCATTTCAATGCAGTTATGGGACCGGGAACCAAGGTTTGTTGCACTATTTTACCTCAGTTCTTATAACATTTTCTTGATTTTCGATTGCTAACTAGATCGCTTGGTTCAAATATCGATTATGATTGAGTAGTCGTTAGCAAAATGTTATTTGCCTGAAACAGATTGCATAAGTTCAAGAGATGCTCTACCTAATTTCGAAGTATGCAGGTTTGCGAAAGCCAGTCTCTAAGTGCTCCATGGAATTAAGGAATTAACAGGCGACAGTTGTTCTTCGTCAAATGTACGTCGATTCAGGTCGCTAAAGCAACTTTTTAAAAATACATCTTAAGCCGCTTTTTCTACGCCCTTTGCAGTAGTTGACTTTAGATTTCTATGTATTTATAATAATCCATTTTGAGAAATCTGCGTCAGCAGGCCAATGTCTTGAAGGCAGCTATTCTTTGTCGTTTTTGACTTTACTACACAGATTAAAAGCTTTTCACCCAACGACCATTCTTACTATTAAACTTCTATCTTCAGTGCGATTCAGCCATGTATGAACCCATAACTGAAACGAACCGAAGCAGGGTTAACTTGTTTTCAGGTTCTGTGGGAATCTGGTCAATGCTAAACTTGTTGCCAGAAAACACACTTATCACAGCAGTGATATTTTCCTAGCTCACTCGTGTGCTTCGTGTTTAGGTCTTATTCTTACTACGTCGAGGTCTGCCAGTCACTGGACGAAGGACTCTGGCATCGCGTTGTAGACTACAGTAACTACACTTGCCGTTCATGGCAGACGCTCTATTTTTCTGCTCGAATTATCCGTTTTATTCGCATAGTGGGCACTCGTAGCTCCGTGGGAAAGTATTTTCACCTTATAACTTTCCAGTGTCTTTATACACGGGAAAAATTCGCGGTTCAACGTGATCTTTTGGTGAGTGATCTGTCCTCTTACCCCTCTCTTTTCGCGTGCTGTGCTATATTAAATCTATTTTCCTTCTTACAGATTCCGCGAACAAATGTTGCCACAATTCAGCACGGAGCCACCGTTTTAGAAGGTGTGAGCAGACTCAGAAATTCTCTGATTGACGGCGATGTTAGCGTATATAACCTCAATTACGGATTTACTTGCCATCAACTCGGCAACGGATCCATTGATGTCCAACTTTCCCAGCCATTCTTGGTTTCCTCTATCCGGTGATTTCTGTTCATTCCTTTGTAATTCGAAAAAAGTCAAGTTTTAATGTGGGTTTTAGAATGCTTATTAACTTAAAACGTAGTTCCTGCGTTTTGTTTGACCTCTAAAATATCCTATTAATGTCTCTGATTCGTTCTGTTTTGTGTAGGTTTCTACTTTGGGACCTAGACAGTCGAGCCTACAGCTATATCGTGGAAATTTCTCAAGATCGTTTGTCCTGGTCTCTGATATTTGACGCCAGTCAACTTCTCTGCCGGTCCTGGCAAACGATTAAATTTCCCCTACAGCCTGTTACATTTATACGGATTACAGGAACAGGAAATACAGCCAATGATGTTTTTCACATAGTTCATCTTGAATGCCCAGCAACTACGATAAATTCCGATTCTGGAACGTCTGATTTCTTCCCCGCAGGAGAGGTCCGTTTTAGCGGTTTGCAGCAGGTGTCTCCACAGCCTTCACAGCCACAAAATGCACCCACGGCTGCTGGTAGAGGTTCCAGTACTGATCATCCTGTTTTTACAGACACTGTGAGTGCTCTTCGTCATCAGCGGCCGCGGCTGCTTGAAGTCGAGGCTCCGTCAACACCTTCGTCATCTCTAGTCGCTGATTTATCAACTTTTTCACTCCACTCTGAAGCTACTTTAGACGCGACTGGTATGGATGCTGGAGGCCAATCTCTTGAATTTGGTCCCTCGATGTCACTTCATCAGCGAAGACGACGTAGAAGAGGCAATCGCAGTAATCATGAACAGGTGGCTCCGAACGGAAGCGTTAATGGTGATGGCATTGCTTCGTCATCACTACATTGCTTTTCGTGCAATTCGAGAACTACGTCACTGTCGTCCGTTACACGAAATGACTGTGATGCACACTTGCTGACATCGCTCAACAGTGGTGAAAGGGGGAACCAATTTGATCTACTTTTAAGAGGATCAAGTGATAGTAGCCTAAGCTCGTCGGCTAACAATCCCTCGGAACAGTCACGATAAACTGCTTAATCATCATTTACTCCCATTGTAAAGGTTATTATTTATGTACATAAGTCTGAACTTGCTATTTATTATTATTGTTAGAAAGTTATTCACATTATTTCCTGAAGCCGGGCTTGAAGCTTGGTTTTGTGTAATACTGATGTTTGCAAAAGATTCACGTAAGACTTGTAATATATACTTTTGCTTCTGCACATAATTTTTTTTTAACTCAGTGCTTTCGAACCAGCATAATTTTCGGTAAGCGTTGCCTTTGATGCAATGGCTGTGCTGCAGATAAGATCCCTCAAATCAGAAATTCAAACACGATAGCTGGTACCCGATGCAAACTATAAACATCAAAGCTATTAGCAGTTTCCGGCTCCATCTTGTGGTTGATTCTAGTGCTTTAAACTTCGTGGGAGTTGTTTTCATTGTTTATGACCCTTTTAAAAAATCGACTTTGTTTCAGTATCATATCATCATTTCTGGACGCTAAAAGCCAAATCGCGATTGCCCTCTTAATGAGTCTGCATAATCGCTTAAACGCGATTGCTGATAACACTTATTTATCAATATTTTTCCTTAGAATCAACAATAAGTTGGATAAAACAAAAAACAACTGCAGCTCAAGTCGTTATCAAAACGTACCTACGATATCCTAAACAAAAATTATTACTTGCAAAACATGAGATTTGGGTTGTGAATGTGCATTCGCAAAGCATATTGAGGGATTTCTCAATGGTGTTACAGCGAGAACCAGCACGGTAAAACAACGGGCCATGACATAGCATGAAAATGTTGCAGCGTTGATGTCGTGTTCTAGTGGATCCTGTGACCAGCTGCTTTTCCTAACACTACTGAAAGAGTTAGTGAGTTTTTACTTTTGTATCATCAATTTGTTTGGAGTGCCCAACCTCCCGATCTTGCCTAATTTCACCCCACCATTTTGTTCATTTTTGGAAATGCCACTTCTGCATTGCCTATACAGCATTATCATGTACGTGCTTGGGTGCTCACTCGTATAATTGCAAACCAAATTCAGAATGATTAAACATAAAAGCATACTGAAAGGGGATTGCCTTAGAGTGGGCGATATTTTAGCACAGCTGCTCGAATATAACATGTGAGAGGGCGAGCATCGTTGGAGCAAAACTTTTTTTCCATTTATTGTGAACCACCCAAAAAGGGGCTTTACACGTCGTGTCACTGACTTGGTAATGTGTGCGGAAATTCATAATTCCATTTATAGAATTCAGATTTGGTATCCTTTACCGAAAATGAGTTCTGCGAATCAAAGAGACCAAGGAATTGTTTTATATTTTCCCGAAAAATGGCACAACATTTCTACTCTTCCGCATCCCAATGCCCTTTGAATCCCGCTCACTAAACTGATAAAAAAAATATGCTCACTCTGGGCCCGGTTTCTGCTGCAGATCCATGTAATATCAATTGTGTTGAATTAACTAGGTGCAATTTTTCGATGCATCGGGTCTATGGGATTTCAATGACCTGAAATGCTTAAGTGAAATTACTCTCAATGTTGCTGTGAGACTTGGCGCTTTACCTTGTTCAACTACCTACAATCTGTTCCTAACCCCTGATTCGGGTGACTGTTTTCGACGCTAAAATTGCCATTTCTTCTAGTTTAGGCTTCATGACAAGCCATAATTTAGATGCCAGGCGGTGTTAGTTGCAGAAAAATCCAGTTTTGCAATAAAAACAATTTTCTTGGTTTCGGAAGCTTTAATGGACTTGAAATGATCCATCAAAACTGCGTTTTTGTTAATTTGGTCTATTCGGTGTTTACATAAGCCTAATATTTTTTGTTCAAACGTTTAATTCCTTAGATGCTCATGCAATTCTAAATAAAATAGTGTTGTGTAATCAATTGTAAGGCAAGTATTTTCATTTTTTAATTTAGTTTGGGATTAATCCTTAATATCTAGGTGTAGAAATGTGCAAAGTATTAGAGAACTTATCTTCTTGGCCAACTCATCCTTATAGAATTTATTGAGTTCCTGATACTGCTGAAGTCTTTGCAGCTATCATTCTAGGACCCGTTAATTCTTGGTAAGACCCGTAAGGGTAGCACTTTCTCTGTAAATAGAAATTGTAATACGATCTTCAAGTAAACAAAATAAACTCACATTCCTCAATGTTTTGGACGTAATCGCGTTCTGTTACTAGGGTAAAATTTGCCCTAGTAAGTTCGTAAGACCTTTTGCCTTATTATACTGATTTTGTTGGAACACGAATCAAAATTTCCAACATTGGAATGGACTCTACTTTTTTACACATTTGCTATTTACTCTAGGTATTATTGTAATATGTATTATTTCGGATAACGCTATTATAATCTCCCGCGACTGATTGCTTTTGCTCTTTCTCGATTCCAGCGCGCATATCGACTATGCTTGTGTTGGTGTTATTTGCACCCTTTTCTATTATTTCATAAACCTTTGAATATGCAAGTTCTCCCCCTTCCACACAAGGTAGCCCAAATTACACACAAATGTCGTCTTTTAGCTAAGACACTATAAGCTCACCGCATGAGTTAATGTCCTGTCATGACCTAGTTGGAAAGACATTGACTCATAAGTGATTTATCAGAGTGTCAGTGCATGGGAATTAGTTTTCAGGCCAAGTAGGAGGTTAATTACTTGCATTAACGGGGCGCGCGTCTTTGTACCTGTAACCATTGTAAAGATACATATTCTGTTCAGTGCTAAATTCTGCCCTTTAGCACCGGTAATGTCTTCGACACCGATTATAGACTCTCTTTTTGTTCATCCTTGTTTCTGGTTGCCTGCTGATCACTCTCATTTTTCATTTGCACTTTAAAAGATGGACGAGTGGTTGAACTATACGTGGTTCAATGCTTCTGCGCCCTATATTGGCACTATACTGACAGTCACAGTAAAATCCTCTCTCAGCTCATGGCTTAGTAGCTTGTGCAGTGACAATGATTTTCATTAATCAAAACCCGACAATCTCAAACTGTCTGAAAGAGTGGCCCAAGTGCCTAGAAGATGACGGACAATTACTTTTGTTGACTATCGCAATAGCAACATTATCTGAACTAGGAACCTTATCGCTTGCGGTTTTAATTTTCCTAAAACCTCTCTGAGTCCCGATCCTGCCCAATGTATATTAATCCCATGATAAAGAACTAAAACAGTGCCTCGAAAAATTGCAGCAGACGTCGTGAGTGTGAATGAGAGGGCGAGAACATTCCAAGCATTTCATAGTTAGCTGTAACTTTGTTTCTGGTGTACTAAACAGAAAGTTTATTGCCGTGGTTCAAATCGTGCACATCAAACGCAATCGCTACCTGTACAGAATAACTGAGCCCAACCATTTAAAAAACAGGTTCAATTAAAAAACTTTATTGATATCAATCCGTCACATTGGCTAACATCCACATTTGTCAAGGATTTGCTCCTAATATTAGTACCACACTATGCAAGTATACACAGCCAAAGTATTGGCTGAGATCGTTGTGGTTTAATATTTCTGCTCCTAATATATATATATATATCGACATCTGTAGAATGCATGAGCCCCTGTATGAAGAATATTAGAAAAACAGAATAAGCTTTTTTGACCAATCACAAGCCAGAACCACACGTCAAGCGATGTCTATCACAGTCCACCACGCTGGCTACGCCGCTCATAATATATTGCTCCTCTGGTTGGCTGCATACATTTCACGCATGCATTTTGATTGCAGAGAGATAGAGGATTAACTAAGGCCTGTTTGTTCCAATAGGTCTGCGTCCTCAGACCTCGTCATTGTAGAAAAAGCCGGGCCCTAGCATGCAAGAGACTGGTACAACAAAACAGGCTTTATTGAACAATCACAAGCCAGAACCACAAATCAAGCGCCATTCATCCGAGTCCGCCACGCTGTCCACGCCACTCGTTTTATACTGTACCTCACTCGTGTCTTTCCCTAGTTGGCTGCCTACCTACCTCGCGTGACATTGGAACACAGAGAGACAGAAGATTAGCTAAGGCCAGTATCAAATATGTCTGCGCCCTCAGACGTCTTCACACTAAA